ATTTTCTGAAATTTCCCTGCTTTTCCTTTGTTACTGTTTCACGTGGCGAGGTGTGTGCTTTGAAAATATAAAAGGCGTGCTCAACCGTAGCATAACATAAATTATTAATATCTTGAATTTTCGAACAACAGCTGTTTGTGCGTACAGTCTCCAATAGAGAGTCACCGGTGGCTGCTTTTTTTTTTTTTTTTTTTTTTTTTTTTTTTTCTGTCACAGGATTGATTTACTACTTCAGTGTCTATTATTTTTCATCTCATTTCAAGGAGATGAGTGAGGACTGAAACCTGCAACTTGTCATATGCATGACCTTGTCTTACTCCACTCGACCAATCCCTTGGGTCTGTTAAGGGTCTTTTTCAAATGAAGTTTCGCGATAAAAAACAGAAGGGGATGAGGTGGAATCAATATGACCGTGCAGGTATAGCTGAGTCACCCTCAACGTGATGTGCTAACCCGGTGACTGGCCTTAGCACTTCAGGTGTGCCTTTCACTGTAGTCGTCTTGCGACTGATGGCTAGGAAAAATATGTGCATCAGTTCCTGTTAAATTATTGATTTCGAAGATGAATTAGGTTAACTCAGAGCGCTTAGGATATTTCTAACCCAACTTTTGGGTTTTCTTCTATTGTTCTTAGAATCCCTTCGGTACAGGTTATGCCTCTGTCATTCAGAATCATGAATGGTTTAGGATGAACTGCTATTTCATAGCCTGGGTTTTTTCTAATATGTCCATTTAAAATTTTCGGTCCATTGAATCTGTTTCTCAATTTCATAGGCTACTTTTGAAGGTTAGAGCATAGATTTGAGCAATTGAGCTTTTGAATATCTGGTGCTTCTGTAATGGGAAGTGACTTTACTTTCTTGAGACTTGTCTACATTCTTTTAACGGATAAGGCTTTAAAATTCTTTGAAGCGAGTGTTCTTGTGTTATTATTATTATTTGTCTCGCCTCGAATTTGTAATTGTTTTGGGTTTGGAACTTCGGCAGATGCATTTTGGTGGATGAGAATGACCGCGTGGTTGGTCACGATTCCAAATACAATTGTAAGTGGACTTTTGATTCTTAGTTTTCAATTGCAATCGTTCACATCGCTTAGTGTAAATAAAAGTTGTTTTGTATATTCTTTTACTTCAATAGCTTATAATTTGTGTTTTCTGAAAATGATTGTTTTTTCTGATTTGTGTGCTTGTAAATTCTGGGATGTACTATCATTAAATTTTCTAGACAGATTCTCTGATATGAAGATTTGAGAAAAAAAAAATTAATATTGCGGTTCATCTAGAAATATTTTGATGTACATGTTAGGAAACGTCTTCCTGTGATTAAAAGGAGTAAAATCTAAATCTTAAATATACTCTCTAATTTGGTTTGTGATGATTATGTTTTATCAGTTATTGTTTTGGATTGAATTAAAAGCTGTGCAGTAATTTTGTTTTCAGTTCTCTGGAATGCACACACATACAAAAGCATGTCAACCGAGGGCATGCTCTAGTGAGAGAGATTTATCCTGACCATATTATACACACATGGCTAGGATGGGCTTCTCTCACGATAGGCACCTACATGTAATAAACGGTCATTAATGAGAAATTTGATAACATTTGTAATTTATAATGTACTAGAGAACCCAGCTGTTACTTTAATGCAAACAAACTCCTGAATACCAATGAGGCAAGCCTTAAAGAGCTACAAATTGTTTTTTTTTTTTTGCATCATACATTGATAGTAGATTTTGATCAACGTGATCAGTAGACAACTGAAATGAAATATAAATTTTCACTGCTTCTACGGATTTTGTCTTCCTAAAGAAATAGTCCTCGAGACTTTTTGAACATCTTTTTTAGACATATAGTTTTCTTTTTCTGTTTTTGTGTTTCTCCTCTCTGCCTAAAGATCTGGTTAATTTATTCTTTTGAGCTTCAATGATTTTCATTAGGTCACTTGATGGAGAAGATTGAGGCTGAAAATTTGCTGCATAGAGCTTTCAGTGTATTTCTGTTCAACTCAAAGTATGAGCTGCTGCTCCAGGTATGTTTATTATTGATGTTTTTCTTGCCTCATAAGCTTGTAGTTACATCTTGTTTAAACTAAACCTATTGATTTCAAAAGTATAAAGCAGAACTTGAACCACATTTTGTTATGTCATATCTCTGCTGCTGTCGATAAAATTTGTTTTTATGTACTGTTTATCAGGTGTATTTATATTTGTAGTTGTTGTTTCAGTGTATTGTGCATACTGATTAGAATGCTTTACATCTGCATGCAAATCACGAGGTGGGCCAAATACCTAGTGGTCCTCAATATATGAAAGGGAAATGACCTTTTGCTGTTAACTACTTAAATGTCACTCTCTGCAATTAATTTTGAGCATAAGGAAAATCAATAAAATTCCAAGTCTTCAAGGTCATTCACTGAAGTAACAAAACAATGTTACAGTAGTAACATTCATTTTCTTACCGGTTATATTTGTTCTTATTTCTAATTTGATAACACCTTCATCATGACTTGTACATTGAACGATTTATTGTGAGCAACATTGTAACATTTAATTGCCTCTTGTTTAAATTATTATTGTTACAAAATCTATGTAGTATGTGTTTTAAAGTCGTAGATTCATGATTTAATTCGTTGTGTTGACTGAGATTCTCTGCTCTTCATGATGAAGCAACGATCTGCAACCAAGGTAACATTCCCTCTTGTGTGGACAAACACCTGTTGCAGCCATCCACTGTACCGTGAATCTGAGCTGATTGAAGAGAATGCCCTTGGTATACACTAAGTACCTTTTATATTCATCCAAACGACCGGACAAATCTACCGTGTCATTGCTCCTTTTTATTTACGTTTTTCCATTTTGTGTTGCCAGGAGTAAGAAATGCAGCTCAGAGGAAGCTTTTGGATGAGCTCGGTATTCCTGCTGAAGATGTACCAGTTGATCAGTTCACCTCACTGGGTCGCATACTTTACAAGGCACCTTCTGATGGCAAATGGGGAGAGCATGAACGTAAGCCAATTTAATTGTTTTCAATTTTTTCAGCAAGCCGATTTTGTCGTATAACTAATTAGGGTTAATTAACAATAATTTAGGCAATGCAATCATAAATCTAAACATGCACCATTAATAGCTGTCAGTGCCATTTGGGGCATACGTTTTATTCCAGCTGAAAAGGTCCTAATCTGCCGATATTTGCTGCAAATTCTAACTGTGCGTATGTATGTGCAAGGAATGTTAAGTATTGACAACTTTTCTTGATCCTCTCCTTGATTTCAGTGGACTATCTGCTTTTTATTGTCCGTGATGTTAACGTGAATCCCAATCCTGATGAAGTGGCTGATATCAAGTATGTGAACCGCGATGAGTTGAAGGAGCTGTTGAGGAAAGCCGATGCAGGAGAAGAAGGTCTGAAGCTGTCTCCATGGTTCAGACTAGTTGTGGACAATTTCTTATTCAAATGGTGGGACCATCTCGAGCAAGGAACTCTCGGTGAGATCATTGACATGAAGACCATTCACAAATTGACATAAAATCCAGAGAGGAGCTTGCTGCATCATGTAATGAAGGGTACCTGTATTCCCCAACCAATAAGAGTCAAAATAATAACCTATTTTCTAGAGAATTTCGGAGCAGTACCCCAATAGAAGTTGTTAGTCTTTTTTCTTATTTTCAATGATAGCCGGAACATTAAACTATAAGAATTTTTCGTTGCATATTTCGGATTTTGGGGTGCAGTGAAACACTCTGAATAAGTAAAATGGTTAGTGATATGAATCAAACATTATCGTGGTGTCGGTCGGTGTTTGTTAGTGGATATTTTGTTTACATTTTAAACGTTTCAATGATTAACGATCGTATCTCTCCAAAACTGAGGATCGGAAAATCCCACTATGACGTGTGGTGCTACAGAAACACGGATCCAGATTGCGATTCTCCATTCACAGCGAAGCATGAGTTGCACTGCACTTCTACTTATATATGCATTAATACATTAGTTTTAACTTATGTAAAAAAACTTCATCTGTTCATCTCCAGGTTTAAACGGAATCAATCAATATAACAAGTGTAAGTATAAATAGGACTTTTTCTAACTAATTTATGGAAATTAAAAAAGTTAAGAATTTATTTATTTCTTTTAAAATCAGCTTTAAAATTATTGTTGACTGATAATCAACATAGGAGAGTTTTTTAATAAGTATGAAAAATATTTGTTTTTTCAAAATCCATTGGAGACGGAATGTAAGAAATACATATAGTATTAGTTTTAATGAAAAATGTGAATTAGATTTTTCTTCAATAATGGCCCATTGATGACGTAGTCCACGCTTCTCATCTGTGATACTCGGTTGCGACTCGTGACGATGACAATAAGTCAAAAATATCAATAGCTTAGCAATTTTTTGAATTGAATGAAGTGGTTACGTTTGATATTGAATTAACCAATTCTTTATACAAGACTTATAATTACGCACTGTTTTTTTAACCAATCCTTTTCCCCCTTTTATTTTCTTATACCTCTTTATTCAGTCATTTATTTAAATATGACCTTGTTTCACAAATAATTGTTTCATTACGACTTTATTAATTAAAAATAAACAAGTTGACTTCTATATTATTACAAGCGTGAGCTTTTATATTGTCATTGTAATATTTTTTCTACACATAGTCAAATTCATTACAAAACTTGATAAATCATTTGTGGTAATTTATGATGTTTTCATATTTTTCTTACATTATAATGTTACATGTGGTAAATACGAACATTTTATACTGGCGGAACTTTAATTGTATTTTATAGGATTTCTGATTAGTTTATAATATAAAACGTAGAAATATCTTTTTTAAAATATTTCTTTTTCATTCATAAATAGAACGAATAAAGAAAAGGAAAAGTCAATGAAGAGATAGTCATAATTATATTATATTTATATATAAGGTAGTAAAATTAAAATGGAAATATTTATATTTATTTACTCATATGGTTAAGACTTAAGATCCCTTTCACAAGTCAGAGGCAATTGAGTTGATAATATTATGATTTTTCATTTTCACGCACTATCAACTATCAAATATATTTGCAGTGAGTGGGAAGACAAGAATATCTCGACGCTTTAACTCCTTCCGCGTTTTCATTCTCGCCTCTTTCCAGCTTCAGATCTATTTCTCCGTCGGTATGTCTCTTCATTTTCCGATTCCTTCTCATTCGCAAATCGCTCTTGATTTTCGAATCCTTTTTCTCGCTCTCTCTCTCTCTCTCTCTTTTTATAATACCTATTCAAATCGTTACTTGATCCGTGTTTGATTTTGTTTTTGGAAGTTTTGAATTGGATGCTCAGGTCTAAGTGTTGATTCACTCTCTGTTTTTATTCTCCCTACGGTCTTCAGCTCTAATCCGCATTGATCCCGCTGTGTTTGATTTCGGCTTATTGCTAATTAACTAGTTTGTTTTTAGTTTATTAACTCTTTGATTTTCTCTCTAGGTTTGATTGCTAATGTTAAGGTCTTGTGTGGCTGTTGGTTATTTTTTTTGTGAATTTTCCAATTTAGTTTCGATTGGAGAATGAATTTTGTGATGAACTCCACAGAGATATCAATTACTTGATTACACAGATTTTTTATGGCTTTATATGTAAACGCAAGCTTGGCTGGTAGACTTGCATTTACCTATGCATTAAGAGCAAATTGTTACCCAGTGCCTTTGTTCTCGGAAACTAGTTTGCTTTGGATATTAGTTAAGGAATCAAATAGGAATTATGTTATTAGCAAATTATGACATAATATTGTTAAGATATCTTCATTTTGATCTGTAGTAAAAACCATAGGACACTCACCAGCAGGACTCCCTTTCTGCTACTTTATTGAGGAAATTTTCTTGGGTCATGTTTGGATTAATTTCTCATTCAAAACTGATAGGAGAATAACAAGAAGGTAAAACGAATTAATCTTCTCTCGTAAGTTCAAGTTAGCATAAATATAAGTTAATTTGTAAAATTTTTCTCGTGTAGTTTCTCTAAAAACTGATTTGAACTAGTGCATAAAATAATTGTTGCTTGTGTGAGAAACTTAATTCATTTAACGTTTTTCATCTATAACAAGTTTATGTAAGTAGAGCTCCAATGAGTGTCTTGTGAGCACTGATTAAAATTTTTTAGTAAAAAACATTAAAATATTCTGATACATGCTTTTAATTACTTAAAAGTAGTGATTTCATGTTTTTCTGTCCTTTTTATATTATAAAAATTATTTTTCAATAAAAAGCAGTTGCCATGGTTAATTTAAAATAAGATAAATCGAGTAGTGGTAGAGCCGGATCCATGACACCCGTTTGTCATAATATTCGATTTCATTCGGTGAACCAGGATAGATTTCCGTTTGTTCTACACCAATCTAACACATTTGATATATTTTTTTTCCAGGTTTTTCAAGTAAATGGCCTTGGTTACTACCGCTGAAGTGTGTGATGCGAACCCGCAGTTAGTTTTGAGTGGGGAGCTTCGTGCCCTTCAGCCAATTTTTCAGATTTATGGTCGTCGACAGGTATTCTCTGGACCTATAGTTACCTTGAAGGTGTTTGAAGACAATGTTTTGGTTCGCGAGTTTCTTGAAGAGAAAGGCAACGGAAGAGTGCTAGTTGTTGATGGAGGAGGGAGTTTACGCTGTGCCATATTGGGTGGCAATCCTGTTGTACAAGCTCAAAACAATGGATGGGCCGGTATTATTGTCAATGGATGTATAAGAGATGTGGATGAGATCAATGGTTGTGATATTGGGGTGAGAGCCCTAGCTTCCCATCCCATGAAAGCCAATAAGAAAGGCATGGGGGAAAAGCATGTTCCCATAAATATTGCTGGGACAAGGATCTCTGATGGGGAATGGCTCTATGCAGACACTGATGGAATTCTGATCTCTCGAACAGAGCTGTCTGTTTGATTTAATTTCATGTAAGGACTACATTTATGTGACAGCACGACCTAGTGTAGTGCTTTTGGTATCTGTGCTCATGACCCAGCTCCTGTCTTCCACAAAATTATAACCGATAAAATCCCCTTGATAATGAAAGTTGGTTGGAGTGTTTGTCCATTTCATACCAACATTATCTCTGTTTTTAATTGCTGTCACGAAAGCTTGTTTCCCCCCCCCATAAATTAAGTTAATGGTTGTCTGTTACCGAGTTTGGTGAGATTTAAGTACAAAGGTATATACATATCCATATTTTGACCAAATGATCTTATTGTACTCCGCTGTAAAATAATGTTCCTCTCTGGAGACCCGACTAAGCATGAAAGATTGGTATCTTTTGCTATAAATTTGGTAGGATATGTCTGTCATTGTCTCTTGTTTCCAAATAGCAGCTGCAGCATGTGAATATAGAATTGATATAGACATTAATAACAAGCATGTTCCTCCCGCCCCCCTGAATTTTCATCTTAGTAATGATTATACTAAAACTCTTCTCAATCGGTTTGTTTGCTTACATACAAAGTTTTGTCCTTTATAAAGTAAAACTTAAGGATTAAGCTACGGATTTCTCATGTTGAAGGGTGGATTTGATGTCGAGTATGAGCCAACGTGATACTGCCTCTAACTACTTGGGCATGGACAAGGTCAATTAGGACCCTTTTCTGTAAGTTTGCAGCATTGCGTGATCTATGCAAATTAAATATTTAAATTTGACAGGCCATCATGGCCTGTGGGGATTACAATGAGTCGCTTGAGCCAATTTTTTATTCACTGCTCTGTCCTTTTACAGAGTCCCGATCCATTGTGATTTCTTCATCTGTAAAACTCCTTACCAGTTCATGTGCCTAATTCTTAACTCACACTGTGTGTGTGTGGGTCTAGAGTTCGTTGATCAATTGATAAATCTAATAAGTGATTTCGCGGTCATATTAGAAAAGAAGGTATAAGACACCAATTGTCGACATGGTTTCAGACTGAAGCGAGTTATAATTTAAAAAAGTTCTCCCGAACAAAATGAACCTGCGTTTGTATCAGATGAAAGGTCTTTATGTTTTTATGATGCACTAAAGAAAAAAGAAATCGTGTTGACAGACCAAATTAACTGCGTCTGTCCATAACCTGCCTTCAACTCTTATTCTCCGCAGCCCTCAGAATAATCTATTTTCTTGGATGGTTGTTGTTTCTTTAAAAAAATGGGTTCGTTTTGTCCCGGGGTGTCATTGTTTCAAAGCTGTTGAACGGTGGAATTACACCAGACAGGCTGCCAATGGATGTATGCGGAGATAAAGTTAAATAGAAAGTGAACTTGAGTTGGAAAGATTAGTGCGGAGTGCTACTGTATGAGATTGCATGCAGATGTGGGAGAATGGATTTGTTGATAAGGAATTTGGTTTGTTGGGTTAGGCATGCGTGTCTGCAGCTTATACCCAGGCTGATATGCCACTGAAATATTCATTGTTTGAATTCTGAAACCCTGTTCTTCAAAAAGCTGTAGTTGACTTCTTCGTGAAACGTGGAAGAATGGTGTGTGCTACGAGAGAAGAGCTTTTCATCATTTGCATGAAAAAAAAAAAAATGTAGTATGCAGACAGGAGTGGTGTTAAAATTGATTTTAACTGAAATTAATTTTATTTAAAATTGATTTGAACGTAATGCTATTTATGTTTGGATGTTTTTAATGTTAAAGTAAGCTCTGATAATAAATCTTAGGATACTTTTTTTTATCCAACATAAAAGTTATATAAACGTTTCAACTCAATTAATTCCAAGATCCATAATCAATTTTTTATTTGAAACCAAATATATAAAGAAAAATACTTACCATCATATAAATTAATATTGTAAGGTAATTACGAAGAATTTATGTGAAATCAATTCTGGGATAGCGCCAAGCTAGAGAAGCTCTGAAGCTATTTTATTAGTTACAGACTTTGCTAAAAGCTGATCGTATGACATTGGTGAGCACGAAAGTGCTTCAATTCCACATGAATAGAAATGTTGGTATTACACATAATAATGATATATTCGGCCATAGGATTTTTAGCACAATAGCCGAAAGCTTATTTTCAGCGAACGCATGCATATTGACACGACACTATCTTCATCTCATATAGATGACACGTATGCTGCATAATGCACCTGCATGCGTTTATCCTTATCTCTCCCTATGAAACTCCAGTCCATCATCTTCCCATGGAGGAACACCAAGAAGAAGGGTTTCTTTTGCCCACACCACTACCAAAACTACCATCCTTTCAAACGGATTTGGTCTACAATGGCCTGGTGTCGCTCTTTTCCCCTCTCTTCGCTCTTTTTGCCGTGGCTTCACAGTCCTACCACCGAGCTGAGGAGACCACAGACAGTGTTGAATCAGCAGTGCAACGTGTTCCTTCTCAAATCACTCACGGTGGCACACTCTTGCTGAAGAAGCTCGGACTTTGCTTTCTCAGTGTTGCGTATGTGTGCATGATTTTGATTTTCTTCCTTTTTCTGGCTACTGTGGTGGGTGTTGGCCTGGTTCGGTTCTGGGTGGAGGAACCCGTTTCTGTCAAGGAAAAATTGCATTTTGATTACACCCAACCTCACCCAACAGCTTTGTTTTCATTCAATGGATTCACAAGCTTTAAGGGTCACCTAAGGAAAAAGCAAATCAGTGTCCCCGTTGGCCACACCTTTTTCGCTTCTCTGGTCCTCGTGATGCCTGAATCTGACTTCAACAGGGAGCTTGGCGTGTTTCAGGTATGATATGATATGATATAACTTCAATTGCTGGCACTGTATCCTTCATCAATGATCTCTTTCAATAACTAATTTTGGAAACATTTTTGCAGTTGACAACAGAACTAGTATCTGTGAATGAACATGTGGTAGCAAAATCTAGCCAGCCATGCATGTTGCGGTTCAGAAGCTCACCGATTCGACTGGCCAGAACCTTTCTGATGGGCGTGCCTCTGGTAATGGGAATCTCAGGGGAGACTCAGAATATCAATGTAGAAATACTGAGACACAGAGAAGACTACAGAAGAAGCAATGCTATCAGAGTAACTTTGCATCCAAGAGCAGGAACATCAAATCTTCCAGAGCTGTATGAAGCTGAAATTTTGATGAGATCCAATTTACCTTGGACGAAAGAGTTGGTTCGAAATTGGAAGTGGACATTTTATGTTTGGGTGTCTTTGTATGTCTACATTGGTCTTCTTATGAGTCTCGTATGTTGTTGTTACAGGCCAGTTCTTTTTCTGGTGACACCACAGCACTGTTCTAATGAAGTTGGAAATGGAGAAGCAGGAGATGGAAATGAGGTTTGTGAGTTGTTGAGGGAACGGAGAAGAAGCAGAGGAGGCAAGAGAAAAAGTAGGGTGACAGATGGTGGTGTTGCAGAAAGTGTTGTTGGTTCATCAGCATCCGGCATTAGCATGAGTACGAGAGAAGATGCAACAAGTGTGTCTGTGGAAGATGATGTTGAGGATTCTGAATCAGTGTGCCTGGGTTAGAAACAGGGATATGGTAACTTCATCTTCACTCACTTTTTACATCATGGTTGATTATAAGTTTGTCAACTTTTATAATGTTTCACTGTTTGTGAACATGTTTTCCAGATGTTTTCTCTTTGAATTGGAAAATGAGAATGAAAACTACTGCTATTTTTCTGCTTTTTATAAAGGAAAATGTTATTTTCACATTAGTTTTTTACTTCTTTTTCTGCTAATTTACGTGTAAAAGTTTAGTTTTTGACTTCTTTTTAATTAATAATTTATCCAATTTTTGTCTTTTATTAGTATCCATAAAATATGAACAATTTAAATTAATGAAATCGAATTTTTATTCTCTTTCTGCTTGTCAATTGTAATTTGAAATAATTTTTTTACGTTTATTAGGCTTTTTGTAATTCCTTATGTTCTTAGGTTTTTGTTTCTTGTAATAAAAAGACACTAATTTTTTCATTTAATTAAAAAGGGGAAGGTCGTATTTTTTTAAAAACTATTTTTTGTTAGCATAGTTGTTGATGTTGGCTCAATATTTATTTTTTTTATTAGGTTTAATTAGGCCCTTTGCATAAAAAAAAAAAAACAAAAACATAAAGAGCATTTTACTCATACACCCTGCTTTAAGTTTTCTTTTTTATTTTTCTTCTCCTTCCACTTACCAACATTCTTCAACTTCATTTTTCAATTTTACTAAATTTGACCATTTCTTTTGTTTTCTGGCTTTTCCAATAACCCTAATAAGTAAACTAAATTGAATGGGACTTTTAAAATATGAAAGTTGTGACAATTCATTATTTTAAATATTTTTTCTAACCTCGATAAAAAATGAAATAATAATAGCAATAATATTTTTTAATAAAATATACTTATCAAATTAAGTTTTATGTCTTAATAATAAAATTACAATAAGCTTTAAGATAAAGAACAAATCAATTTGACGCTCTTTTTAATCCTTAGAAGCTGGATTTTTTTGTTATTTTAATGTTTTTTAATTTAAAAGTTAATAATAATAATAATAAATAATAACAATAATATTGGTATTATTGTTGTTATTATTATTGCTGTTATGCTATACTTTTCATTACAACATAAAAATATTTAAAATTATATTCTACACATTTTATATATAATATTAAAATAATAAAATTTTATTAACGACTTAATTAAACAAAGACAATTGATTAAATTATTATTACAGTTTTTAATCATCTAGAAAGAATAAAGAACATTTTGAGTAAAATATTTATGAAAATATTTACCTTTCTTTTATTATTATTATTAATAAATTTTTATGGGTAGAAATGTGAATATTAGATTTAAGTAAAAAGAGTGATAAGCAAAATAAAAAATTGTGATAACTTATATGATAGTTATGTGCTTGACTGAAAAAGAGGTAGAGGTTAATTATTTTCTTTGTGTATTTTTTGTGTATGATAATTATATATTTTAGATCATGGATATGTATATATGATATGAGATATGAGCATACGTTGAGTTTTAATAAGGTAGCTATTTTGACTATTTGTGGAGATTTTGGTTTTAATAGTTTGAAAAAAAAAATAAATTTTAAATTTATTTAAAAGGTAAAATAAGTATGATAATTATTTTAATTAAAAAGCCATTTTTACTTGAAAAACGAAATGTGTAAAACCAATGATCCC